GTGCGAGAAATATGGCGGAAATGGAGTTCTTTCGTCGGTGTGTTGCGTGGTAGCTACACGTCCTCTTTCTCTCTCTCTCTCTCTCTTTCTCTTTTCTTCCCGTCAATCTCGTAAGAAAGCGCCGGCTCGTGAATAGCTTTCCGATGCTTCTCGCAGCAGACGCCACCCGCCGTGTCTTCCTGCGCCTGTCAGCCTGTCGCAGTGCATTCTCTCTCAGATGCACCGCGACGCATCTGCTATTCCAGCGACTGGCTGCCCGCTGGACCATATACCGAGTCCTAAACGAAGTTACGGAGGACAGGAATCGCGTTCAGTAAATATCAAAGTATCACGAGTCTGGGTTATTCGGAATGATATTTATCCGATTTCAATTTACCTTATTTTTCGGAAGTTCGTAAATACATAGTGATGCGCAGTGTTGTACTTAGATGATTTTAAAATTAGCTAGATACGGATGAGATAGAAATATGTATATTTAGTTTAGATAAGATAAAGATGATTTTGTTTCAAATATATCTAGATAAAAGATAAAATTATGTGATAATTTAAGGGATGGTTCTAATCCAAAAGCCCGAAAATTAACGTAATTTTTTTGAGCGAACGTAAATTTTTTTTGAAAAAACTGTTTGTGGCATTTATTAGTACATATTTGACGAATCATACAAAATTTTGTCGAGCAAAAATAATTAAAAATGGTGGCTCCAGCCCTTACTGAAGAAAGCCGTGCGCGGCGATAGTGAATGTGCGCGAAGCACTCTACAGCCCTGCCAAGTGATTTGAAACGAAAAAACGAAAAATATTCTTAAACTAGATGAAATTCGGGGGGCCTTATGAATTTCCGATTTTTAAAAAATTCTTTAAAAAAAAAATGGCGGCCATTTGAAAAAAAAACTGTTTTTCCTATTTTTTTTGGCTTTAACGTTAAAAAAAATATTAAAAAATTTTTTTTTGAAAGAAACGCTTCCTGAAGGCCCCCTAAATTGAATAAGCTTTAATTTGAGCCGTCAAACATCGAAATCGGTTCAGTCGTTGAAGCGGAATCGTGCTTTGCGCGCAAAAAAAGGTGTTTCGAGAAAAACGCGTTTAAAGTTTGACGAAGAAAAATAAATAAATAAATAAATTAGATATGAAAATATCCTTTTGTCTACACATTTTCAAGACCCAAAGAATGAAAATAAAGCAACAAAAAAAAATTTTTTTTTGATCGATTTTGACTAGAACCTCCCCTTAAATAGATAATTTCCAGATAATAAATTTTATGACTGCTTATATAAACACAGTTATAAAAAAAAATATAAATTATAAAAGGTACTAGTACAAGTATTTTATATGCTATGATTCTAAACCAAAATTGTCTGAAAATTATTCTAGATAATTTAGTAAAGATAATACTTTTTTTCATCTAATACATATTTTTATTATCTATATAAAGATAAGATGACGCCAAAGTTTCATCTAGATGATCATCTATATAATTTTATTTAGATAACAGCAAACACTGACGTCATCCAAGAAGAGAACTTATCCAACTTTCGTCTCTCACGTTATAAGTTATGTTAATTTGCCTTAGAGAGTCGAGACAATAGTATCATCAATTATTAAGTACAATATTTGCTGTTATCTAAATTAAATTATATAGAGGATCATCTAGATAAAACTTTATTTTACCTTTATATACATAATAAAAATCCGGTCTATTTTTGTATACTATATAAAAATATATATTATTTATACCTACATCTTAAATGAAAGAAATGTTATCTTTACTAAATTATCTAGAATAATATTCAGATAATTTGGTTTAGAGTCATAGCACATAAAAATACTTAAGTAATAAAATTTAGTAGCGATAAAAACTTACAAAAGAAGTAAGCGATAAAAACTTATTATCTAGATAATTTGCCATATAATTTAATATTTTACCTAGAAAGCAAAATCATCCTCATCTTATTTAAGATAAATTTTCTTATTTTTATCTCATCTTTATCTAGCTAATTGTACAATTATTTAAGCACAACACTGATTAAATACTTATACACTTCAAAAATATAGTCACTTAAAGCCGTACGAATTATTTTAAATAATATACCTTAGATACTGAAGAGACATATATTATAAGTAGAAAAAAATAATACAAATAAATACGTTGTAATAAAATTAAAAATCTCACAGCCATAAACGAAAGAAGATTCTCTTGCGTTCCCCTTAATTTAATTCCCGAAAAAGGGAAGCCCCTCAAGGACTTAATTCAGGCAGAAAAAAGTTTTTACATTCACTTAATCCATCTTAAGAGCAAAAACCCGTCCTGCTTCCAAATTCTCGAGCCACTTTGCCTTTAAATCTCTGCGTATTCAAATTAACATGCAAAATCATTTGAGTCGCGCGCGATTCGAAACGCAATTACCAGGTTATTAAACGAAATTAACAAGATTTGCGCAATTTTCGCAAACAATAAGATTAAATCTCAAGCCAGCAGGACGAGTGGAAGGAATCTCTCTCTCTCTCTCTCTATATATATATATATATATATATATATATATATGCATCCGGTTGAAACCGACGATTTGTATCCTCTCGCGCGAATTAACCAGAGGAGCGATGTCGTTAACCGAGCCGCATAGTGTTACCAGTTATTCGTCGCCTCGAATACAGTTGGCCAGGGGATACCCAACAGGAGGAGCCGCAAGGACTGGAGTCGGTTGTGCGGGTTTGGGGGATATCCCGACTTATGCCGGTAGTCGCGTTTATGTACACCCCGAGAAGTTGGCGAGCGGTATCTCCCGACCGTAGACTATTTGAGTTTGCCAAGTAGCAATAATTGTTCCCAGCCAGACTGTCCAGACGCTAGCGGCATTCCGCTATCGCTGAAATACTCGGCCTCCGTCCCTACGGAAAGGGTTGACCCTGCCTGAGGTTGGGATAGGTCGGTCCGGTGTAATCGAATTCCAGTCTTGTCTTTCCGTTCCCCGATCGCTGACTTGAACTCAAAGGCTTCGCGCGTAGCAAATTTGCGCCACATCGCCGTCTCATAAGAGACGCGGCGAGATTAAAAAGCTCGGGATTAACTCGGATAGCAGAAAATTTCCATCAAGAATTAAATACTTCTCACGTAACTCGTGTATATTTTCATCTTTTTTTTTTTATTTAATTATCTAAAAGATTATTTTAAAATATTATTTTATATATATATATATAGTGACATTATATTATAAATATAAAGTAACTTTTATTTTTGGAGATAATTATAATATTATGAAAATTAAATTCTTTGAGCGCAACATCCTTTCATGACAGTTGAAACGTATATTTATTAAATGTAAATGAATTATAATTAAGGATTCGATAATTATTATTTTTTATAAAACTCGTATTTTTTAATTTAATTATCTAAAAGATTATAATAATATATTAATATAATAATATAATATTATATTAATATAATAATAATATAATGTGACATTATATTATAATTATGAAGTAACTTTTATTTTTGGGGATAATTATAAATTAAAATAAAATTCTTAGAGAATAACATCCCTTTATAACAGTTGAAACATGTATTTACTAAATGTAAATATTAAGCAAATATATAAATGTAAAATAAACTCTAATTAAGGATTCAACAATTATAATTATTAATTAACGAGTGTCTTTGTTTATTAATTTTTATTTAAAATTGGGTGGCAAAAATGTCTATTTGTACGAAAAATTGGAGCAAAATTTTCCGGAATTTTTCTCTCCTTCTTTTCTCTTTCTCTAATTAAATGGTAGGTTTAGCCCATTTAATTCCAGTACTTTACAATATACATGAAGGAAGAAAGAAAAGAGATAAGAGAAATAAAAGAAGCAAGAACATAAGCATGAATTATAAAGATGAGATAGTGAAAGAGAGAGAGAGGGAGAGCCAGAGAGAACAAGGAGAGAGAAGAGTTCGAAGGACTAAATAATGAGAATTGATAATGCAAAGTTACTTTAAGATGCGATGAATTAATGAAGGTGAATTAAGGTTCAATTTGCAAATAAGATGAGTTAAATAAAGTAGAACATAACTGGCTGTGCAGAGCGCTAAATTGAAAAGAAGCAAGCAAGTTTGTGCCTGTAAAATAAAAACGCATAAATAAGTCCTTTAAAATCTATACTGTTTTCAATTATTGTTTTACAAATTCTCGTGAAAGTTTTTGCATTTTTTGCGCGCCTGTTTAGTCATATTTAAATGAAAAGACGATAATTTCTCGTACAAAAGTAAGTGGAAAATGTAACTTTTTTGTACGAAACTTTGTTTTAACATAGTTGGATATATTTTAATAAACATATACCTACATATGTATATACATGCTCTAACACTTACATATTTGTGTGTATGTATGTATCTATGTAATTTTGATTTTGCATTACAACCCAATTTAACGTCCTATTTGAAAATTAATTAGTTAATTATTAACAAATAGCGATAATGAGTCATACAATTCTATAACATACAATATTCTCAACTAATTCGATAATTTAACTAATTTATTAATAATCTGATTCTGTAATCTAGTTGATTGCCATATGATTATTGTAATCTGATTGCAATAATAATCTTGCATACAGTCTTATTGTTCTTTCGCCTTTCTTTTTACTCTTTACATTTTCCACCTAAATAATTATATAACTATAATTAAGTTTAATAAATAATAATATAATTATAATTAAGTATAATAGAAAGTATAGACATTATTTTTTGTTAATTTTTCTAACATATTATATTTCTTTTTCTCTCTCTTTCTCTTTCTCTAATATACTATTGCTTGAAATAAGGGGAAAGAAAATATTGCACAACTTTATAATACTGTAATATTTTTACAAGAAGAGTAAAAAAATTAATATTTAGATGAATAAATGTCGCTATTTTTAAAGCTTAAATAGAAACTCGAAAAAAAGCATGAAAGAATATTATATTAAAATACAGTTGCTCGTATTTCCACAAATTAATTATGCCCATTCCTTTTATGTTTCAGGACACTACGGGACAACGTTCGAGAAGTGAAGGAAATTGATTATAAATTAAACTAATTATCAGAAAAGAAAAATAATCGCGTAAAACGGTCGGTGAGAGGCGGAGAATGCAGTACAGAAATTTCGCAAATTATTTGTGGAATGGCGCGTTCGAGACACACACGATAATGATCGCAAAACTAATAACTCATTATCTGCAATTAGTAATTAAATTTTTTTAACGAACATAAGCGTTTTAAGTATAGAGATGCTTGAGAACATTCTGGATTGAATCTGCGCCGCCTATCGTTTGACATTTCGGAAAATCCCACAAGAGGCGACAGGCCTAATTGAAGTCATGATTCGCACAAATGGTAAGCCCTCTAATTACTACAAATTACATTATAAAATTGCCTAAATTGTCGATTCAATCATTATAATTATTTTGATTCAATCATTAAAGTGAAAATTAATTATCTTCCCAAAGGGCGATAAAATTCGATGTAAAATTGAAAATTTTTAATTTCCAATCACAAACGATATTATTTAAAATTGATTTTATTTCAAATTGACGGAGATATAAATACATTTAAAAAAAATATGGGGAATACATTTTTCAATATCCTATAAATTAGACTATTTTTAAATTGCTGTAACTCGGCAAAAAATCATCGTAGACAAAAAATTAAAAAAGCATTTTGATGCTCAAAGTTTCAACTTTAACGCGTAATTGGTGGTTTTAAAATGTATGCAATTTGAATTAAATTTTTCGAAAGAAATTTTTTTTACATTTTTTATCGACCTGTAGAGTATCAAAAATACATCATTTTAAAGGGATCCTAAACGTTCTTGAGATGTCTGTTGTTTCTTTCCTGTTTTATCGACAAAATGCGAGGTTAGATAAATTATAAATCTATTTATTAGCTATACGGATTGTTTTTACCTGAAATTAGAACGCTTCGCCCTTATTTAATATTAATACTTTAATCTGTACTGGAAAAAGATTTATCAATCTGTATAGTCTCATATATCTTGATAACAGAATTATGAATTCTAAGAATTCATGGAAAAATGTAAATTCTATACAAATTGATAAATCTTTTTCCTGTACAAATTAAAGTATTAATATTAACAAAGGGCGAAGCGTTCTAATTTCAGATAAAAATCAATCCGTATAGCCAATAAATAGATTTATAGTTTATCTAACCTCACATTTTGTCGATAAAACAGGACAGAAATCACAGACTTTTCAACGACGTGTAGGATTATCTTAAAGGATAAAACAATATTTAGTATAAAAAGTGTTTCTTATATTTTTCAGCAGTATAATCGATTTTTGTAAATTTTTAACTTGTTTCGAAGATCCATTTTTCTCGAGAAGACTTTTCGCTTCGCGAATTTCCCTCAAATCGTAAATCGACGAGATGGATTTCGCGGCGTGTGGAGGTCGCATCATTGATAAGGAAGAGAAATTATCGGGGCGAGTGACGGGGCCGAAACAGCTTATCTCTCCTTTTTCTCCACCACGTGGCTCTCACGAGGAAAACGTGGCGCCGTTACACAACGTTGAATTTCCTTCTCCTCGCCAGACCGATAAGTACTGATTTCCATAATGGCTCCACGTACGAGTGCACTCACTTATCCCCTACCCTTCCTCGAGCTCTTTCCCGCAACCCCCTTTTCCATATACCTCATCCCCCTCCATGGGGTTGGTTCGTATGTCCCTTTTCTCGCGGAAACTTCGGGTCTTTGTAATCTTATCGCGTAATGCGAATTCGAGACTCGCGATAATCGCGATGGGACGTGATTAATTTTTTGATTTCGGCTTGTTATGCGCGTCAATGTCGCGACGATTTTACGCGATTTATGTCGACGAGATGCTGCCAAAAATTTTCAACATCCCTGCTTCTTTCTTGCCGGGTACTAAAAAATTCGGTAGATCCTGACAACGCTTCTTTATGTCGTAAAACATAATGTTTTTAATTATTTTTGAATAAATAATTAATTTAATTATCTTTCATTCTTTTAATTGTTATTCTAAGATATAAAAAATCATATAATGTATAATTATTTTTTAAGACATTTCGAACATCTCGATAATAATTTTTAAATGAACAATCAATTCAAATTAAAATTTTACTTTAAATTAATAATTTTAAAGAAACTTTTTTTATATCATATGATATTTATTTTTTTTTAAATATGCAACTTATTGATAATAAAATATAAAATATTTCTTAAAGAAATAATTTCACTCTTAATATTTTTCTAAAGCTATTAATTCAAAATAAAATTTTAATTCAAATCAATTATTCATTTAAAAATTATTATCGATATGTTCGAAATGTCAAAGTGTCTCAAAAAATAATTATACGTGATTTTTCATTATATATCTTAGAATGACAATTAAAAGAATGAAAGACAATTAATTAAATACTTATTAAAAGTATGGAGATATTAAACACGGATTTCGCAATAATAGTAGATTAATTAGTTCACTTCAAGATAGTCGATTCCGATAAAATACGAGCAGTATATGACTTCTGTGTAGAAGATGTTTCCTCGTCCTTATCGAAATAACTTCGTCCTTTCCTCATTCGCTTATCCCGTCTCCTTCACGCTATTTCCCTTCGGCTATTTTACTTTATCCTCCATCAAAGAGATGAAGCAAACGAAGCTTTCTATCGCGAGATTAGAATTCGCCAGTAATCGAAGGACCGATAAAGAGCGCCGTTAGGATCGTAAAGGTAGCTATTCCCAGAATATCGATTACTCTCGCCGCATCGAGATGTATATTCGATTACTCGCGTTTCTTCTCTCTTTTTTTTTATATTGAATAATATCATCGTCATTTCCCGATCGCAGTAACCGCGGCGCATATTAATTAAATATTGATATAGTTAATTGAACGACCACGTTAAATAAATGCCGCTACCACCGGAATATATATATAGCGAAAACCGCTGCGTCGTGGAAATTAAAACTAACAAAAACAGAGAAATTAATTGATGCGATCGAGCGAGCAATCGCGAGTAAGCGAAATAAAGTGCAACTCTGTTGCAACTTTGCCGGACGAGAGGAGGGCAACAATCTCGAATCGATGCTAATTAATAATTATTATCATAAAATTATAACATTCTCGCTGCGTGTTTTTGTCTTCTTATATCATTCATCGCCCCGTATTGTTTACCGTTGTACAATTAACTTCGACTCCGCATTAACATTTAATTAAGAGGATATGTGCCATTAATAATACATATATTTTTTAATGTAGTGGACATTTATTACGTTAAAATATATTTAATGTTGATAAATCATTTGGAAGATACTTAATTTGCCGCAAAATTTAATCCTTTTTTAATGCATATCTTTCACTGATATATGTTATTAATATGTTGTATATATGTTATTCATAATGTGTAAAAACTAATATATGCCAGTATATGTCATTAATAATATATACCCGTATATGTTATATATAAAAAATTATTACATTAAAATAATGTATTTAATGTTGCAAAATAATTTTATAGATATTTAATTAGTCACAGAATTTAGCCCTTCCGTCAATAATAATTTTTTCATCTTTTCATTAATAAATGGGTACCCATTCATTGGAGGGCTCAAGCTGTTTTGACATTTTCGATAATATTTTTAAAAAGATTGTCCCTGCGCGGCAGTAAATTTCTATTATTAATGACGACGGCAAATTTGGAGATACTTAATTAGTCGCAAAATTTTATCCTTTTATCAATGCATATTTTTCACTAATACATTGTATGTTATTAATAATGTTGTATATATGTTAATCATAATGTGTATAAACTAATATATGTTTGTGGATGTCATTAATAATATATGCCCGTATATTTATATGTAAAAAAATTATTATAATAATAGAATAAATTCTGTGTCGACAGTGAAATAAATTTGTAAGGTTTATTACGAACGACCCAACTGTCAAAAAATAATCTTTGTTCTTATTATATCACGTAGACATAATTTTTTGACAGCTGGGTCATTCGCAATAAATCTTGCAAAACTAATTATATATTAAAACGTATTTAATGTTGCAAAATAATTTCAAAGATATTTAATTAAAACCCCAAAATTTAACCCTTCCGTCAATAATAATTTTCATCGTTTTATTAATAGATGGGTACCCATTAATTGAAGGGATGGAGCTGTTTTGACATTTTCGATAATACTTTTAAAAGGCGCAGCAAATTTCTATTATTAATGACAACGGCGGCAAATAATTTTGAAAATGACGAAAGATTCCACGGTGTGATATAGATAACGAATGATCTATGGTAGCCGTGCAATTATTTCCAGATAGGTTCACCGGGACGGCGGAAACTCGACGGCGTCGCGATTAATCGCGCAGGCGTAAATGAGAGACGATCGTTGTGGGACGCGGAGGTGATCCATAGATCGTGTCGGGCGTGATCGGTTGCGGGAGGAGGGTGGCAAGATGGAACTCATCCCGGTCCTTGTCTGCCTGATCGCCCTGCCGCCCGGCCTCTCGCTCTCCATCAAGAGCAAGCTCAACCCGCGGATCGTTCAGACGCGCTACGGCGAGGTGCAGGGTATCACGAGGTCCTTCGAGTACGCCAAGTTCCTCAAGCCAATCGACGTTTACCTTGGGATACCGTACGCGACACCGCCGGTCGGCAGCAACCGCTTTTCCCCGACGAGAGCGCCGAGTCCTTGGGAGGGAGTCAGGTAAAGGATTTTTTGTGAAATTTGATATAATAATATTGTGTATAATAGGTAGAATTAATATCGAGAGGTAAATTAATATTAATTTTCATTATTGTAAATCATTATAAATTATTATTAATTGATATTTATACGAATGAAAATTGATATTGAATTTTGGATAATTTAAGTAGGGAAGATATTAGAAAAATGTAACAAAATAGTATATTGTGTATCAAGTGCGGAAAGTTGACAATTGGTCACGAGTGCGGGGGATGGACGCACGAGCCGAAGGCGAGTGAACAATTGTCAATCCGCACTTGATACACATACTATTTTGTATTGCAAGTGCAGGCAAAGTGGCTGTTTCGGCGTGTTTTCTGTGCGCGAGGCGGCCGATCGCACGCCGCCATCTTGCCGCGGCACGGTGGGGGAATAGCCGGTTTCAATACATTTCCTACGGCTTGAGCCGTATACAATGACTTTTAACGCGGCTCAGCCGTAGATAATGGCTTTGAAACCGGCTTATTTACTCACCGTGTCGCCGCTAGATGGCGGCGGGGGAAATCGGCCGCTTTCGGCACAAAAACATGCACCGAAAGTGCCACATTGCCTGCACGTGTAATACAAAATTAATATATGATAGTCTTTTCGATTTATTATTATAATTAATTTTTTGATAAAGACATTTTTATTACCACGACAATGTATTATATTACTGCACAGAAATTATTTTATTCGAATGAAAAAGCGGATCAGATAACTAAAGTGTTTCGTGATTCAAGACGATTTAAGGTTGCGCGTGAAAGAATTAATCAAGATATTACGTGTTTGCTTTCCCATTTAATTTCCCTAGTAAATAAATCACCGCGATGTAGATTATCCGAAATTACAAAGTTTATTTCCAAAGTCGCGCGAATGAGTTTATGACGAGTTATGCAGAAAGTTACGTCAAAGCTAATCAATTTTTAGTTTCGTAGCGGCACGAGATATCGATCGCGCTTATGACTTTCTCGCAGTTTAAGCGCAAATATTGTATACTTTTCAATTTTATATAACAAAGTGCGATCCTTCCGGGATGCTTCAGATGCCTCGCAGTCTTTGTAACTCGAAGTGTCCGGGAGATATACAACATTCTGAAATTATGCCAAGATATTCCTTGACGAATCTTTTAGATGCCGACGTAATATCGCCAGTAGGTCCGCCTATAATTGCATAATTGCCGAAAACTCGCGCATTTCTTTACAAAAAGTAGTGTATATATTTGTAGTATTGGTAGATTAGTTTATTAAAAATTGTATTTTTATTTTGAGAATACTCTGTTAAAAAATAAACGTTAAAACAGGAATGCTGACTATGACTGTTTTACCGACTTTGAGTTTAAGGAATTTTCTTTTTATTGGCTATACAAATTGAAAAATTCTTCTCCACAATTAAAGTACTGATAATAATGAAAGGGGAGCGCTGTAATTTCGTATAAAAAAACAATAAAAATTAAAAATTACAGTTTTTTGTGGGCATCTTGCATCAGCTCATAACAATACTTATTTAATACAAAAGTTCTGCAATTTATTTGTGCACAAAAAATATGGCGCTCCCAATAAAGATGACATGAAAGAATAATGCAGAAGTGAGTAAAGTGTAAAAAATGAGATAAAAGGTCTGTATAAAAGGATTTGTACTTGAATTAATTATGTATGTATATTTGCGTGCGGAATCGGTGTTGAGGCATAAAACAACAAAAATTAATTGCCGAACAGCACTCCCCATTTATTATTATCAGTACTTTCATTGTGGAGAATTTTTCAATATATTGAATAAAAAGTGAACCTAACCTAACTTAAAGTCGGTAAAACAGAACAATGGCAGCAGTTAATATCAAATATTCCTAATTTCAAAAAAATGTGGACAAAATAGGATTTATTTTTACATTAACAAAAGAAGTGCATGTTATTTTACAGCGCAATACATTTTTTTCGGTGAACACGCAAGATCCAATAAAAGACAAAATATTAAACAAAATTAATAAGAGGAAGGATATACTGTTATCCTATAAGCCAAAGACACTTCGTAGGTTAGTTCCCGTCTTGAAATTTATACCGTCGACGATGTTCATCCTTATTGAACACGGTTTATTCACTATACGAAACTTTGACCAGTTTTGGTTGGTTATAACGCACGAACGATTTCCGATTTCCTGTGCAGATTATCAGACTCGGTGGGTCCGGTCTGCCCCCAAAAGCTGCCGGACATCGCAAACGAGCAGGAAGCGCTCGAGCGGATGCCTAAGGGAAGACTGGAGTATCTGAAGAGACTGCTGCCTCATCTGCGCAACCAGAGCGAGGACTGTCTTTACCTAAACATCTACGCACCTGCCATGGGTGAGTACAAACTTGACCAATGTTGATGCAATCATCACATTGTTGCGATATGCGTCGTCTTTATCTATAATTAATTATTGTGAATAATATTTAAGAGTAAAAAAAATTTTTTTCGTAATTATTTACATTAAGATTAATTTTATAGATTTTAATGAATTTTGTATACATATATAATCAAGGATACGTCCGGAGAAAATTTTAGTTTTTGTCACTTTTGTAGTTTATTAAAAAATTATGAACAAAATTTTTCAATGTGTAAATAGTTACGAAATTTTTCTCTCTTCCGCGAATTACTTTTTATTTTTTAATTCGAAAATAATATTCGCTTTAGAAGGCAGATTCGACGTATGCTAAGCTCCGAATGCCGAACATTCTCCTCTGCGCGCATCGCAGAACGAACTCCACCAAAAAGGAAGTGCAATAAAGATCGATCGATCAAGCATCGAAAGTTCTTTATATGTCGAGCATACATTCCCCGCGTTCCGGAGTCACGACTAGAGACGATATGCTTTTCGACACTATCTCGAGGGAAGAATTTCGCAACGCGATTCTGCAGAACTGTGTATTCACCGTCGTAACATATAGGAGATCCCGAGTTCCTTAAGACCTTTCAAAATATTCGAATAAAGAATTTCTTCAAAATTTTTAATTTGTCTTCTCAAGATGCTTGAGGAACGAGATTTGCAAACTTTGAATACAAGATTTAAGTTTACTTTTAAAATTAAATCTGGGAATGGTTTGAGAGTGGGATATGTAATTTTTAATATTAAAAAGTTTTAAAATTATAATGAAAGTATAAATTTACACTTACAGGATATAGAGATTTAAATGATTGTATATTGGAAATATTGCATTATATATCTTGATTATCAGAGAGATCATTATTATTTAATTAATATTTAATTAATGTTAAAATTATCCATGTAACAAGCTGACGTCATTAAACGTCAAAATGACGTTATTTTGGGTATTTGGTATCGTACAAACTGAATATATATTTTTTATTGAAAAAGTAACATCATTATAGCATATTTATAGCAAAAGTCATTTCTAAAATTATATTTTTTCTTATTTCATTTAAATTATCTTTGCGCGTGAATAAGCTGGAGATATTCGCGTCAAAGTTTTGAGGAAGAAGAATGGAATTTTACATGAACATTAGCAGATGAAATAATCCTTACTGGTTGTCAAGCTAGTCGCATCGAATAACGCGGAAAATTCTACAAAGCGAGAGAAAAAAAAATAATAAAAAAGCTTTGTGACAGAAATAGCCAGAGAGAAAGAGAGAGAGAGAGAGAGAGAGAGAGAGAGAGAGAGATATGTTCCGTTCATTACGTAGTGTCCCGATTAAAAAACGATTTTGAAGGTGATGCATTGGCGTTCCAAATTGAATCGCTAATCTAAGTTTGAGGGAACTTTTGCGCCGAATTGGAAGGCCCCGGATGAATTACAACGGCCGGAAATAGATGTCATTGACCTTTGTACGCGCGATATACGTATATAGTTCACTGTCTGAAACTCAACTCCTCGAGATTGTGCGAATTATTGAGCTTTCAACCGGACTAACGTCTGGCAAACAACATTCCAGACATCGCGCCATGATGAGTAATTATATTAATTACCAAGTAACTGCAAGATGTTATACAATTTTTAAATCCTTCTATTAATCCAGAATTTTCTATCAATACATGCATTATAATTATTTCTTTATAACAGCTGCTAGGCATTAAACATTCTTTTTAATTATATTTTAAGGGGATCCTAAGCTAACTTGAGTTTTCTTCCTGTTTTATCGACAAAATGTGAGGTTAGGTAAACTATAAATCTATTTATTGGCTATACGCATTGTTTTTTTACCTGAAATTAGAACGCTTCGCCTTTTTTTATACTTTGATTTGTACAGGAAAAAGATTTATCAATCTGTTAGTTTTATATATCTTAATTTATATATTAGTTTCATATATTTTAGTTACAGAATTATAAATGCTTAGAATAATCAACGCTTGTCCATGATTAAAGTACATATACATAACAGGAACCTACCGATTTTATGTTAAAAGCAAAAAAAAATTTAAATTAAAAATTAATGTTTTTTGTTTTAAGGGGATTTTAAATGTCCTTGAGAAGTCTGTCGTTTCTTTCCTGTTTTATCGACAAAATGTGAGGTTAGACAAACTATAAATCTATTTATTCTAAGCATCTATAATCAAGATATAAGAGACTATACGGATTGATAAATCTTTTTCTGTACGAATTGAAGTATTAATATTAACAAAAGGCGAAGAGTTCTAATTTAGGTAAAAAACAATCCGTATAGCCAATAGATTTATAGTTTAACTAACCTCACATTTTGTCGATAAAACAGGAAGAACAGATGTTCTGTGGTTAGCTTAGGATCCTCTTAAAAGGGCTTCCGAATACAAAGGGATATATTGTATAAAAAATTTTCCGACACATATTTTAATATTTAATTTAATTTGTTTTGGGTATTTGTTCATTAACAGAAGAGTTTCTCGAATCGAGAACTGTCGCATTAATATTTGCTGCATATGTTAGAAATTTTCTACTTACCTTACGGACTTGTACAGTTACTTATATCTATTCTTCATGTATGAAGATGCTTTGAGCAGGACATGAGCTGGTCATATTTGCTGTTCAATTTCCGGTCCCGGGATGTCGAGAGGCGCGAAAGGCAGAAGAGAGAAAGGGAGAGAACGAGATTTTCTATTTCGCCGTGAGAAAATTCAATGATATACGATTATTGAAACACCATTCACTCCGCTCGACATACGCGACGACATAAAATGGTTCCCTTCGAAATGCCGAGGGAGCAGAAAGGTAGAAAGAGAAAGTTTTTCGGCGAGAGAGAACGGGAGAGAAAGAAGTTAGGTGACGGCAATAAAAAAGGTTGAAGATGAAGGGGCACACACAACGGGAAAAGAAACATATTGCGTGTACCTGCCACAACGTCTCTCTCTTCGACGTTGCCTGCCGCGACTTGAAACTGAAGAGAGTGACACGGAAGAGATTTATCAAATATTTTTCATTTTTCCGCGCCACTGACACGCGGCCCGAAATTGCTTCCTGAAATCTCCGCGCCATTACGTAAAGTTTCGCGAGATTATGGCGCAAACTCTCGAACGGATCCGTAAATCCTGTCTAGTTTTCATCTGAGATTATTCCGTAATGTATTTAAGTTGCAGAAATGTTCTACATTAAAAAATTTAACAACACGATCAACCTTCAGAAAGACACAGAGAATTTAAATCCTATATATGATTTGGTTATTAAAGGGAGGTTCTGGTCAAATCGATAAAAAAAAAAATTTTTTTTTGTTGCTTTATTTTCATTCTTTGGGTCTTAAAAATGTGTAGGCAAAAGGATATTTTTATATCTAATTTATTTATTTATTTATTTTTCTTCGTCAAACTTTAAACGCGTTTTTCTCGAAACACCTTTTTTTTGCGCGCGAAGCACGATTCCACTTCAACGACTGAACCAATTTCGATGTTTGACGGCTCAAATTAAAGCTTATTCAATTTAGGGGGCCTTAAGGAAGCGTTTTTTTCAAAAAAAAATTTTTAAATATTTTTTTTAACGTTAAAGCCAAAAAAAATAGGAAAAACAGGTTTTTTTTTCAAATGGCCGCTATTTTTTTTTTAAAGGGTTTTTTCAAATTCGGAAATTCATAAGGCCCCCCGAATTTCATCTAGTTTAAGAATATTTTTCGTTTTTTCGTTTCAAATCACTTGGCAGGGCTGTAGAGTGCTTCGCGCACATTCACTATCGCCGCGCACGGCTTTCTTTAGTGAGGGCTGGAGCCACCATTTTTAATTATTTTTGCTCGACAAAATTTTGTATGATTCGTCAAATATGTACTAATAAATGCCATAAACAGTTTTTTCAAAAAAAATTTACGTTCGCTCAAAAAAAATTCCTAAAATTACGTTAATTTTCGGGCCTTTGAACCAAAACCTCCTTTTAAGGCTGCTTAGTTAGTTCGTTTTCTAATATTACAACGTTAATGTCCAACAAACGTAGGACGAATTTTAGTATGAATTTTATTATGTAGAAGTGTGTCAATTTATTTCTTAGCAGGTATGATTTTTATTTCATTAATTTATATACATTGGTTTACGCTATTTATCATTTTTTTTAAATGTGCTTTTTATTAATAAATTATCAACATTTATAATTATTACTTTTTGATTGTAGACTTGATAAGGACCTGAACTAAGGTCGAAACGTTGTCTGAATTTTGAATAAATAACTAAAGAATAACATTGCTAGTTGTGGTCGATTTATTAACAAATTTTATGTATTTAAGTTGGTTATAATATTTCTAATTTTATAGAATGTGTAAAGAAAATTTTTATTCCAGGTAAACATTTTTTCTAAGTTTTTCAAAAAAAAATCTTAATGCTTAAAAATTTTAAAAATAAAAATCCTTTTGTCGATGTCATAATTTTTCATCTCTTTGTACCAACTATTTTCGACATATTGTATTGCGACAATTTTAGCAAGCGCCATCAAATATTTTTTCCCATTAAATTTTAGGTGAATTTAATTTGAATTTTGTTTATTAAATAATTTCGGCGCATTTTTACATTTAAAATTGTTTTGGACATTTATATTGACAGAAGGAACAAATTATAATTAATAAATAATGAGAGACGGACATTTGACATTTTGTATTAAAGAAAGATATTATATGAAAATGAAAAATGCATAGTAAAATCGCGAGTGCACTTATTCAATATAAGGGTTAAATTACAATTTAGCTCTTTGTAATTTTAAATGAGGAGATGAATATTTAACATTATATATTAAAGGGAGATATTATGGAATCGGATCGTCGTGAAAATTTAAAATGCATAGTACAATCACGAGTGAACTTATATATTCGATATAAGTGTTAAATTATAATTTAACATTTTGTAATTTACATTTTTACCTGAAGAGATGGATATTTGATATTTCGTATTAAAAAAAAATATTAT